CTTTTCTATTGTTATTGCATTTTTTTATTTGTATTTTGTAATTTCATGATAAAATGAATTTTAGAATTTATTTGTTAATAATAAATACATAATAATATATTTATTTATTCTATCTATCTATTCTTTTATAAAATCTTGACGGATGCACTATTTTGTCTTCGTTTTATACCGATTTCGACTAATAAGCTGCAATACGAAGTTACTTAGGAAGGCGGAATTAAATATACCATTCCCTTAAAAATATCTTTGTTTATTTTTTAAAAGAACATATAATATTTGCAAATAGAGAATAAAATTAACGTACAGCATTGCCATATGACATAAAAAAAAATGGTATAAAATATTTCTTCATTGATTTAAAAGGCAGCAAAAGAAAAAAAATTCATAAAATAGATAAAAAACTTTCAAAATAAATGCAGTTAATAAAACTTCAAAACCTATTTATTCTAGTCACTTTTCAACATCTCACATTGTTTTAGATTCCTATAGACAAAATCCATATTATTGGCACTTTTCTTTTTACCATACACCAAACCACTATACATTTTGACAAGCCTTTAAAATTAAAATTTGAAAATCTATTAAAACCTACAAAGTTTCTATTGGCGAATAATTAAAACGACAAATATTAAAGGCAATTAAATTTTTTCGTGTTTTTGTTGTCCGGAGGCGATAACCACACATCGAAATCTAATATTACACAACATATTATGCAGTGTTACACACATGGTGATGTGTTTATCAATATATTATCAGACAAGTCCATGTCTATGTTTTGAACGCACGAAAAAATAGCCACATTTGTTAGAAAGCTACATGTGTATATATAAAGAAAAACCTTTATCATTTAAAACCTTTAAAACTATTTATATAAAAAAAAAGGTTTTTTCTTTAACGAAATCACTTACTTGTGTGTCATTCAGTGAAAAGAGAGTTCAATTTTGTATACTGTTTAAAATATTAATTTGTGACTTTAAATTTTGTTTTCTTATTATGTCACAGAAAACGCAATTAAGTATTTTATTGTTTATTCATTCTGAAGTATGTATTCAATATCATTATAGTATATATATTAAATAGGTAAGAAATAAAACCCTAAAGAAAAAAAGGCATATTCAGATGTCAAACACTCAGGTATTTTCGAGGTTCATATTTATTTGTCGATGTGTATATGATTTACATTCATGTTGTTACAAAAGTATATTTAGACATCAAATAAACCTCAAAACTAAACTAATTTTAGATATTGTTTCATTGTTTGTAGTTCGCGCATTGATAGTATCTTTGATATTGTACACTGATTGATTGATGCTCTATATCCAATGATATTTTTAATCACATCCAAATGTACGTTATTTTTGAAATTACAATGAAATCATGTTTCAAGTAGATGTAAAATCGATGAGTGAATGTTTTCAAAATCCGAATATCTGCCATTTAAATATTTTGCGCAAATAAAAAAACAAATCTCAAACTCTTTAGTGTCTCTGATAGACTGATATGTTTAGTAGATATTTAGTAGATGTAGTTATGTTTTCCTGATAGAAACAGTTCAAATTATTAGCATTTTTTGGTAAGTTTCCTAATTTTTTTTTAATTCATATGAAAGTTTTTGGATCTTTTTTATTTTTCAATTTATACCGTAGCTTGTTAAGTCGGAATGAGTTCGTACTTTTAGACTCTTACGCCTTAACCTGACAATTCTGAAATTAAATGTATTATTATTTAGTATAATTAGGTTAAATATGGATAATATAATATCAAATATAAAAGGTTATTTTGTTTCACAATACATAACATAAATAGTAATCGCGAAGTAGTAGTCACAGTGTTAGTAATATTTTATTACATTTTTGTTACTTGCAATTTCGAGGGTCTATTGGAGAATGATAAACTTATAGCGAACCTTTTTACTGAGAGCAGTTTTCCAAGTAAAGCTGCCAATACGTAGCTGTTCTCCAAATGCGAAACGACACGTGCTTTCTGTACAGATTACCTCTTTCCCTTTCAACTTCGTATTCAATTTTACACATACATATTCTATTAACTTTATTAGAAACGAAAATTTTTCATCTAAAATTATTTTTTATTTGACTTAATTGAGGTTATTTGCTTAAAAAGGCAACTTTCTACGTAATGCTTAGAGATAAAATCTTCAATACAATAAAATAATAACTGATAGTTGAATAAGCACACAATCCACTCGGCATTAAGTTATTATTAATCACAATATAAATTGAGGTATGATGAGGTGAAGAAAAAATACACGCCATTAGTTATTTTCAAATAAATGGAAATCATTGAATTACTTGAAATTGATATTAGTTGGAACGATAAGCTCTTGTAGTCTTCTATACAATATATTTTATATTGCATATTTTATTTTGTACATATTTTAAGTGTTTATACTTTATGCCTACGAACTACTGGTATTCATTACTATCCTAATGATTCATAGTGAAGACGGACCGCTGACAAATCAGGCCGCGTTGATTGAGGCTGGGCATTCAATAATTCAGACCAACATTTTAAGTGGACATTGTGGTTAGATGATGGTTTTCGTTGAGTATATAAAGCTTTCACGAGAACTTTATTCTCTCGTATGCGATGGATACTCGCCAAATGGAGTTTACCGGTTTTACCTGGAATCACTCATATCCGATCCAGTGCACTTTCAGCGTTGCGCTACGCTACGTCATGCATTCCTTCCAAATGTTACTGTTCAGATTTGGATACCATGTACATCCGAATTACATTGAAAACTAGTTTTACCGCTCTTCAACGGTGCATGATAGAGGTCGAAATAGGCGTGATTGATGGGTTCGCATTGTGTCTTACTGCTAATAGAAACTAATTAATCTAGTAACAGATTTTAACATCAATAGAGTGGCAATAGCACTGTCAAATTTAGTAATCAGCTTTCGATCAGTAATCAGCTTTATAGTCTGCCTTAGACACCAGTGTAGAAACAACATAGTTTAAATAAGTGAATTAAGTACGAAAAAAGAAAAGTAAACTCAGGTTTTCGTAATTTCAAAATATCTGCCAAAAATACGAAATCCGATCTCATAATACAACGGTGACCCTGTTTGCTAAGTAATAAATAGGCTAAAACTAATATACTGCATAATACATATAAAATAATTAAATTACAGTGATAGATAGATATTAAGTGATATTTGGATGTTTAAAAATAACGGCCAATAAATATAATAAAAAAGTAATTTGATGTCAGGATTGTGTATGTCAGTTTTTATTTATGTTTACGATGCCCATTAATTTTCTTTCTTAAATTACGATATCTCTTGATAAGTTTGCGTTTTTATGCGAGAATGCATTTTTTTATTCAATTTTAACAGCAACTTGGCGGAGTGCAATATTATAATTGTTATTCGAATTAAAATGCTTAAAATCCTCAGTTCTTATTTAAGCTACGAATTCTAATTTATTCGCTATTTCGTTCTTCTTTTTTTTTTTTTTTTTTTTATTGCTTAGATGGGTGGACGAGCTCACAGCCCACCTGGTGTTAAGTGGTTACTGGAGCCCATAGACATCTACAACGTAAATGCGCCACCCACCTTGAGATATAAGTTCTAAGGGTCTCAGTATAGTTACAACGGCTGCCCCACCCTTCAAACCGAAACGCATTACTGCTTCACGGCAGAAATAGGCAGGGTGGTGGTACCTATCCGCGCGGACTCACAAGAGGTCCTACCACCAGTAATTACGCAAATTACAATTTTGCGGGTTTGATTTTTATTACACGATGTTATTCCTTCACCGTGGAAGTCAATCGTGAACATTTGTTGAGTACGTATTTCATTAGAAAAATTGGTACCCGCCTGAGATTCGAACACCGGTGCATCGTTTCAACACGAATGCACCGGATGTCTTATCGCTTAGGCCACGACGACTTCTGCTTTCTTTCTTTATTATTTGTAACTGTTACACCGATACAATAAACATTTCGGCCTGAAAGCGGAACTTACGTCTATGGGCTGACGAGATCACTCAATACCAGATGGACCTTTAGCTCTGCCGCCCAAATCAATTCAACCAACAAAAAAATATTATTTATAATATTTATTATTATTCAAGAAAGTTCCGATTACGATTTATTTTATTTTAAAAATGTAGATATACTTTTTGTCTTGTCGCCTATTAAGACTATATTTTAAGGTGTTTGATTTAGAACGATGGAAAAAAATTTAAGAGAAAGAACTTTAATGTTTATTATGTAGATCTTGTGGCAGCTGGCAGAGACTTTGCGTTTTGATTCAGTTGTTTTTGCCATAATTAATAAGCACTATAAAAATAATGGCAACTCAGCAATTCTATTTCTAAATCGTCTTTCGTGCATAGTAAATTGATATTTCTCGATTGCTACTCTTCTTAATTTTAGGCTTACCGTGCAATTTCAACTTATCTGCTTCGTGGGAGAGAAGTCGGAATCTAAATCACTACAGATCCTATTGCCTTTTGATTCAGTTCTTAGTTATATCTAGAATTGGCTTTCCCTTGGGGAGGCTGAATCTTATCGTGCAGTATTTTCGTTTGCCATTGTCAATTTTGGTTACACAGGAGTTTAATGGTGGGAGCGAGTGGCGAGCAAATATTGCTATATTTTATTATTTTAATAATAAAATATATTTGATATATATGTCAGCACACGTCGGGGATGGCTGAGCGGTAGGTTCCGTCATCACTCGTATTTGATTGAACACAGCTTATAAAAAGTCAATAAAACCTTTTGAATAATAATTATTGAAACTCAACACACACAACTTTCACAATGACAGGATAAACCGACAGTTTCGTTGCACATACCGACAGACCGACTGACTGACTGACTGACTGACAGAGACTCACTGACTGAGACGGACGGAATTACTGTCTGACACGGAATGCCACGACTCTGTCCACGTACCGCCATTTTATACTGTGGCGTTACGGAGTCTACCCTTCATTTTGTGATATTTATCAAAACAACATTTCATCATTTAAAATAANGCCCGCCGCTTCACTGCGTCGCACAACACGCAGTGCGGTGCGGCAGCGGTGCAGGAGGCTGCCTTGTGTCCGGGCTGACCGCAGCGAAAGCAAAGTCCGCTGCGATCCACAGACGACGGGCACCTGGCGAGGCCGTGCCCGGTGCCAAAGCACCGGAGGCATCGCCATGGACGTGCCTCCTGCAGCTGCACGTGGGCTATCACCCAACCCACGCGCAGCTTTCCCGGCGAGTCGGCAGGCCGACCCTGTGGAGGCGTGGCCAAGAGGATGGCAGCCTGCACAGGGCAACGCGCCCACACAGTGAAGGTCCCAGAGTAACAACTCCGGAGCTCTCCCACCTTCACCTGTGCGAGGGCGCAGTTACCCTGCGATGCAATAGCGGCGGCCACTTCCACCTTAGTGGCGCACTCATCCAGGCCCGTCACTTTAATCTCTGCCATCCTGACGGGCCTTTCGATTCGCACGACTTGCGAGTCCGGCAGGATTTCGCGAAGCCGGGTCGCCAGTTTGTCCGCAGCCACGCCGGAGTCGGCACCGGGACATTCAAGCAGCCGAGCCCCGTTGGCCGTGTGCCGGACTCGGATGCCACCCTCTACGCCTATAGCGTCTATATCTACGCTACAGCGCGCCTGGGCCATCACCTCCCCGTAAGTGAGGCCTTTTTCCTTCGCAGCCGGCAGCAGCTCTAAAACGACTGCCGCCGACCGTGGGGCGCGCGGTTTCCTTGGCTTCCGCCCCTTCTTCTTAGTCCCAGCTACCGTTCGACCCATAGCCTGGGGAGCGGCGGCCGCAGGGACGAGCCGAGGGTCAAGTGAGGCTTGCGCTTTCCTTCCACCCCGCCTCACCACAGTCGTCCACGCCTCGTTCATGTTGGACGGGGCGGGGGGTAGTGGACGTGGCTGGGGGGTCTGCGCCTGCTTGGTGGCGTTCATGCCCCTCTTCTGCTTTGCGCGGCTCCTACCAGGCCCCGCTTTTGCTGTTTGAAGTGGGGCAGGAGCGGCGGTCGGCGACCTTGCGGGCTGAGCATGCACTCGCCTGCTAGCAGACTTGACCGGTGTGGCCAAGTTAGCCAGCGCGCGCGTCGCGGGTGCTGCACTCACTTTGGTCGCTGTGGCTTTTGAAGGCGCTGGTGCCGCC